GCCAACCCCCTGGTTCTTGTCGAAGCCGGTCGCGTATCGCAGAGAAGCGGAACTCTCGCCTCGGTTGTCTCGTTGCAAGGCTCTCGGAGCGGTCGCTGCAGCTGGTCGGAAACGGCCGACAGAGGCAGGGACCGCGGTGCAGCGAAACGGTTCGAGGAGCTTGCAGTGAGCGGTGAGTCGGAGAGCGGAGTCGAATGCAATATCGGACCGGTAAATGCCGGTAGTGGTGGAGAATACCCTCACCACCGCAGTATTGCTCAGGATATCGGATCTAGGAATCGGTCGGTGTGCTAGGAGCTGGATACGGAGCAAAAAGCCTGAAATATTATTTCGCCGGGCTTTTATACTGTATTGTTGCTCCCGCTCGTATTGTTCCGGAATCATTCGGTGACTCTCGGTATGGAACAATACGAGCGAGAGCTGCGACGCTCGGCGTCGTTCGGCGACGCTCGGGTTTCGTAAGACGAGACGTCTCGCGGCCCGCAATTATGTTTGCTTTGATAAAATGTGTCGAGCGCACCGCGCTCTCATCGCCTACGGTGACCGGGGGTCACCGTAGCGGCATCCGGCGGGTTGGTATTGCCGGGAACGATGCAATTATGGGGGTGCATCGTTACACTCTTCTTCTGCAATTCTGTTGCATACTTGTTGCAAAGATAATCTTTTAGAGCGAATTCGTTTTTTTAAAGATTGAAGATAATTTTCGAAAGGAAAACAACCATATCTTTCTATTGGACCATACGTTTGTACATCCGCACAAAGGTGTAGTAATGAATGTACATTATACACAACAAAATCCTCACCATATATTCTAGGAGCTTTGAGAACAAATTTTCTAATTGCTTCTTCAGCTACGTGTAGGTAAGCCTCGATCATAGATGCACTAGATAAAATAGTAATTGCTACATGAAGTAATAAAAAATGTCGATATTTTACGTCATGAAGAACATTGTAGAAAATAATTACGCCGCTATATAAAACAATAAACCGGAACTCAGTCGCTTTAAAATTTTTTAAGTTTACTAAAGCTCGAGGTTTTCGACAAAAATCAGATGTGACGAATGGACATATTTTCCGTACATTATAATCAATTGTTGCAAGATTTTGTCGAGAGAGTTTACAGTGACGCCCTCCTTCTACCCAATACTTCACAAAGATACGTTTCATAATACCTAGATATATCATATGCATGGGATCCAATATAAATTGTTTCACGGGGTCTATATTTAAAGCAAGTAATGGCGACTTTCCTTTCAGATGATTATTATCATTCGTATTCTCATCTAAGAAATCATATTTTGTTCTCAAAGTAACCGATTTATTTATTTTAGCTGGAAAAAAAATTTGTTTTTTTACTTTTTTAATAGTACACCTTTCGCATCCGTACATGCTCGTATGCCCTTTAATCATTTTTAACATAGCTCTTGCGGGTGCATCAGCCGCAAAACATTCAATTTCAACATAATATATTTTTCCGTTATATTGAAACCCGTTTTTTCGTAAGGAAATTATTTCTTCGTTAAAAAGCTCTAAATATTATTCGTAATATAAAGGGAACGACCCGGGAGAACAGCTTAGTATCAGGCTGCTCCTCGCCCTGATGAAGTGGACTGCAAGGTTCACGAAACGTTGGCATTCCAAGAATGGATTTGAACACGGAGAAAACCCGCGAAACACAAGATTGTCATATAAGCTCTAAATATTTTTCAAGATTTATCGGTTTTCCTTCGCCACAAAAACATGCAATCATGAATGGACGTGAATCTACAGTATCATCACTACGACCTAAAATTGGCCACATGTCAGTTCTACTACTCTTGAATAGTGGTAAACCGTCAATATTTATGATTAATTTGATAGTTAATATTTCGCCATTCAATCCACCATTCTGTAATTTATGCGTCAAATCTTTTTCAATGCCAAAATAATACATCTCGCCGTTATTAAAAGAAATAGTTTCCAATGTCCTAGGAGTACGCAATAGATTTCTAGCACTACACGGTAAAAATGGATAAGCTGGATGTATTAATTCCAAAATCTTATTTAACGCTGCATGTGTTAAATTATTATCAATTGCTAGCTTACGTAAGTTATTCGTAAAATTAGCTGAATTTATTACAAATGTGTGCTTTGTAAGACTATTATTATTATTATTATTTTCATTATCAGCAGTAGACTTATCACCGTCCTCTGTGTTTAATGTATTTCTATAATACATATTATTAGACTCTAATTCAACAAGTGTTAATGAGGGAAAGGATTCATTAGTGGTATTTATTGTATCTGCGTCGATACTATCATTATTCTTCACTTCGTAGCACATACGTAAACACAAATTTTGCCTGTTTGTAGAAATAAAATTAAGGTCGCTTGCTTGAGTACATGAGGACAGTAATACGTTTTTAACTGCATTATTTATCTTTCGACGCAAGTGTCGTTACTTAGAAGTTTCTCACACAGTTTAATGATTTATGTATTAAATTAACTATTAAAAATTTCGAATAATAAAATTGGAAAATATTGAAAAAATTAATATAGGAAGTATCGAATATACACTCATACGCAAAAAAAACGGGCCACTTAAAATTTAGCACTAATTTTTAATATTTTCAAATAGCAATAACTCAGTGAAAATTCATCGTAGCGAAGCATACTTGTTGCAAAGATAATCTTTTAGAGCGAATTCGTTTTTTTAAAGATTGAAGATAATTTTCGAAAGGGAAACAACCATATCTTTCTATTGGACCATACGTTTGTACATCCGCACAAAGGTGTAGTAATGAATGTACATTATACACAACAAAATCCTCACCATATATTCTAGGAGCTTTGAGAACAAATTTTCTAATTGCTTCTTCAGCTACGTGTAGGTAAGCCTCGATCATAGATGCACTAGATAAAATAGTAATTGCTACATGAAGTAATAAAAAATGTCGATATTTTACGTCATGAAGAACATTGTAGAAAATAATTACGCCGCTATATAAAACAATAAACCGGAACTCAGTCGCTTTAAAATTTTTTAAGTTTACTAAAGCTCGAGGTTTTCGACAAAAATCAGATGTGACGAATGGACATATTTTCCGTACATTATAATCAATTGTTGCAAGATTTTGTCGAGAGAGTTTACAGTGACGCCCTCCTTCTACCCAATACTTCACAAAGATACGTTTCATAATACCTAGATATATCATATGCATGGGATCCAATATAAATTGTTTCACGGGGTCTATATTTAAAGCAAGTAATGGCGACTTTCCTTTCAGATGATTATTATCATTCGTATTCTCATCTAAGAAATCATATTTTGTTCTCAAAGTAACCGATTTATTTATTTTAGCTGGAAAAAAAATTTGTTTTTTTACTTTTTTAATAGTACACCTTTCGCATCCGTACATGCTCGTATGCCCTTTAATCATTTTTAACATAGCTCTTGCGGGTGCATCAGCCGCAAAACATTCAATTTCAACATAATATATTTTTCCGTTATATTGAAACCCGTTTTTTCGTAAGGAAATTATTTCTTCGTTAAAAAGCTCTAAATATTTTTCAAGATTTGTCGGTTTTCCTTCGCCACAAAAACATGCAATCATGAATGGACGTGAATCTACAGTATCATCACTACGACCTAAAATTGGCCACAAGTCAGTTCTACTACTCTTGAATAGTGGTAAACCGTCAATATTTATAATTAATTTGATAGTTAATATTTCGCCATTCAATCCACCATTCTGTAATTTATGCGTCAAACCTTTTTCAATGCCAAAATAATACATCTCGCCGTTATCAAAAGAAATAGTTTCCAATGTCCTAGGAGTACGCAATAGATTTCTAGCACTACACGGTAAAAATGGATAAGCTGGATGTATTAATTCCAAAATCTTATTTAACGCTGCATGTGTTAAATTATTATCAATTGCTAGCTTACGTAAGTTATTCGTAAAATTAGCTGAATTTATTACAAATGTGTGCTTTGTAAGACTATTATTATTATTATTATTTTCATTATCAGCAGTAGACTTATCACCGTCCTCTGTGTTTAATGTATTTCTATAATACATATTATTAGACTCTAATTCAACAAGTGTTAATGAGGGAAAGGATTCATTAGTGGTATTTATTGTATCTGCGTCGATACTATCATTATTCTTCACTTCGTAGCACATACGTAAACACAAATTTTGCCTGTTTGTAGAAATAAAATTAAGGTCGCTTGCTTGAGTACATGAGGACAGTAATAAGTTTTTAACTGCATTATTTATCTTTCGATGCAAGTGTCGTTTACTTAGAAGTTTCTCACACATTTTAATGATTTATGTATTAAATTAACTATTAAAAATATCGAATAATAAAATTGGAAAATATTGAAAAAATTAATATAGGAAGTATCGAAAATATTGAACAATGTATTATTTTTTCATATAATATTCACATATTTCAGTAAACATATTACGTAAAATATTACCGTCAATTATTTTAATACCTGTAAGAATATTTATAAAATACAAATAATTTCCACAGAAATAATATATTTCTATATATATAATTTATATCTATTCATAAATTATGTACACTACCATTCATAAATTCGGGAACGTTTGCGATTTTCTTACATTTTATAAAATTAACTTAAGCATCTCTATGAAAAAATATAAAAAAAAAACGAGTTAATAGGAATCGTCGCTGTAAGTAGTGCGTTTAAATCTTTTAGTATAAATATTTGATCCAAAAAGATGTTTATGACAAAATTAATTTCAACAATGAGATTAATTTTATGTTAAACATCTTTTTGGATCAAATATTCATACAAAGATTAATTTTATGTTAAACATCTTTTTGGGGGGATCAAATATTCATACTAAAAGATTTAAACGCACTACTTACAGTGTCGATTCCTATTAACCCGTTTTCTTCTTTATATTTTTTCATTGAGATACTTAAGTTAATTTTATAAAATGTAAGAAAACCGCAAGCGTTTCTGAATTATAATTAATACATAATAACGAATATACATATGTATAACATATAAATAAATTTTTTTAATATAAGGTAAATGTACTAATTAGTGGACAGGTAATGGACATGACCCAATTTATTAAACACAGTGATAAAAAATTTTTAATATTAAGCTTCTAATAATATATACGATTCTAAATAAATTCGTTATTAAATTTTTATAAACAACGAATTTATTTAGAGTCGTACATATCATTAAAAGCTTAATATTAAAATTTTTTATCACTTTATTCAACAATAGACTCATGTCAATTAACATCTGATACAATTATCTTACTGCATATTTGAAACCCGGATGTCCCGGGTATTATTTTATCCTTGTTTAACTTGGCTTAATAATAAGGATAAAACGATACACGGGATACTGGGTGGTTTCCGAACGTAGCCTAAAATACACGTGAATGTGTGCTGCTCGGGCACGTGCTAAACTCATGCATCAAGACTCGTCAAGACATGTCGCAATCGTGAGCAGAGGTTTTGTGCACTTTATTGTTAAAAAATTGAGCTTACATATCCGTTTTCAAATAAAGAATTATTCAAATATAAATTAATTTTGATAAACAAAGAATGATTATTTTAGACCGTTTTTCTTGAAAAAAAAAACGATCGTTAAGTTTTAAATAATAATTTGAAAAATCTCTGCTACATTGCCAAATAATTATTTAATTCAAATGTTAAAACCTTTACTTAATAAAAATTGAAAATTTGTGCCAAGAAATTTGAGAGTGAAATTTCGATTGGATAAAAAAAGACTCGGTGTGCCTACGAAGAGTTAATATAAAATATTAATGTACCTACTCTCTAAAAGTAAATCAGTGACTTCAGTGCTACACTTTGTAACCGTACTCACGAGCAACGGCACAACTTCGTCGCGTGTTCTCGGTACTCAAAGTACGCAAAAGTATCTTCTCTCCCTCGGTAGCAGAATTTTGCGACAGCCAGGCGGTTTT